ATTTAAAGGCATTCGATTACAAGCTGATTTGTAGCAACAAAGAAAGTGACAAATATTAATAAGTCATGTTTGTAATGGCTGATTTTTATTGTCATTTTAGAGGATTTTTTTAAATAGCGCAGCAGCAGAACAGGGACAAGCAAAGAGAGGTTTCAATCTTTACTTCAGTCCTCATTGTTCTTCAAACGTCGTCTTTTAAAATTATGTTTTCCTGACTCTGCTGCATTCATTCGATCCTCAGCTCTTAGGTTTTAAAATAATTCAAGAGCATCATTTAGGGAGTTCAAGTATCTCAGGATCTTGTTCACGAGTGAGGGTAGAATGGAGTGTGAGATGGATCGGCGGTTTGGTGCAGCGTCTGTAGTGATGCAGGTGCTGCACTGGTCCGTCGTGGTGAAGACGGAGCTGAACCAGAAGGTGAAGCTTTCTATTTATTGGTCCATCTCTGTCCCAGCCCTCACCTATGGTCATGAGCTCGTGGTAGTGACTGAAAGAATGAGATCGCGGATACAAGCGGCCGAAATGAGTTTCCTCTGTAGGGTGTCTGGGCTCAGCCTTAGAGATAGGGGGAGGAGTCAGTCATCCAGAGGGAGCTCGGAGTAGAGCCGCTGCTTCTTCGTGTCGAAAGGGGTCAGTTGAGGTGGTTCGGGCATCTGATCAGGATCCTCCTGAACGCCTCCTGTTAGAGATGAGCTGGACAGTTTGTTCTTGTTAGCTGCGGGGTCGACAACAAATGTGTGTTGCTGACGCTGAGCTCACTTCCTCAAGTTGGAAAGTTTAAATCAAGGTCCACTTACTTGCTTTGCTCCACCTGAGAGATCCAGAGCTCCATCACCTGTTGAAGGCTCTGGAAGAAGCTTGTATGTGGTTTAATTTTCTTTGCTCTCAGTGTGAAGCAGTGGGAGACGTGATGTGATGAAATCAAAGCTGCAGATGCTGAGGTCTGCTGAGGAAACTAAACAGAGAGAGGAGACGTGTTGTGACAGCTGAAAGAGAGATCATTGTGTTTTATCTGCTCTCCTCCTGTCTCATGGATTTTTAATGTTCTCACTCTGTTGGTGTCATTTTGGTGTTTTTTGTGTTTTCTTAGTTTCATTTGAATTCTTTTTAAAAGCTTCTAAAAACAAAAGGGCTTCAATCAGAATGTAACCCAGCATATCATTGTTTAATACTAATTCCTTCAGAAATCTTTAAGTATATATTATATATAAATAATGTATTGCTTAAAGCTGGACTGTTGTCTTGTGTTGTCATTCAGAGAATAGATGGCTTGATTATTAAAGGAGGTATTGCCACAATAGAAATACAGTTTATGAGATGTTGTTGTTAGAAGTTTCTTGGGTTTGATGTCAACCTCAACTCAACTTGAATTATTCAGCGCCTTTGATGCAAACATGCAGCCAAGTTTTGCAAGACTAGGAAATTACAAAATGTTTTTTTAAATTGATAAATAAAAATCTATAAAATAAAATAATTACCAGAAATAAAATAAAGTAAAAAAAACAACAATACACTAAGAAACAAAAAAATACTGTTTTATTTTTTTACTTTTGGTCTTTACACATATTAAACGGGAAAATCAGAAAAGAAGACACTGCATGATTTTTTAACTAGACCAGAAACCAACAATGATTAAATGAAATCGGCACATTAAAATTGACAAACAAGTTTGAGACACAAGTCGCAGCTCTGTTCTGATCTCTGCTGCAGCTGTGACAAAAAAATACATGGATAACAATCAAAACAAAACAGGTTAGAGCTCCTGCTGCTGCTAGTGACAGAGAGCTGAGAATTTTTCTTTATCTGAAATTTTTGGCTGCACAAAACAACACAATTAATCTGCCAGTTATTTTCTTTATTGAGCAAAAAATGTTTAATAAATACGTTATTGCAGGTTTAACTCTTTAAAACCTGACAGCAAATTGGCTTGAAAACAGGAAGAACGCATGAGCAATGAAGACGAAATGATCCAAAATTTTAGCAAGAAACTAGTAAAAAGAAAAAAATTAAAAACAAAATTATTTTAAAAAAAAAAGTTAAAAAATGACCTCAATATTGGCCATAATTTTAAATATGTAAAAATAATAATGATATCTATTTTTCAGTAGCTTTTTTCATTTTTTCCAATTTTTTAAAATAATTTTAGAATTTTTTTTTCCTTTTTTCTTTTTTTTCTTTTCTATTTTTTTTTTTTTTTTTTTGCAGTTTGTTAGAGATTTCTTACCAAGTTGCTTGTTGCCCTTTTCCCCGTGGTTTTGAGATAAAACGTACCAATGTTCTCAGAGTTTTAGTGTTTAAATACTTGGGAAAGGTGTGTGAAAACAATACAAGAAAAGTGGTGTCGCTCCAGGTTTCAAAGGCTTAAATAATCATAGTGTTATTTTGACATGGTGTAATTTAAATTATACAACCACTGTGTGGCAGTATCATCAGAATCAAAACTAAATTAAAACAATATGTGACAAAATGGTTTACTAAAATGAAAACTAGATTAAAACACACAAACTGAGACAAAATATTGTTTAGTTAAAAAAATAAATAAGTCAAAACAGAAATACAGGAAATGTTTTCAGTTTTAGTCAGTTTGGTCAAATTTGTCGACAGCAACATGAGGTGTTGGTGCATCTGCTCATTGAGACATGACTGTGAGCCTCCATAAAGGTTGTGTTTGTATTGTTATACCATCTTCTTTAAAATACCCCCATATTACAATTTAAAAATAATAAATAGATACAAATAAAAAAGAATGATTTAATAAAACAAATTCTGAAGCTAAGAAATACTGAACCAAAAACAAAGAGATTTTAACAATAAAAAAATTGATCTGAAACTGGATTTAAAACAAAAAATAGAATTTTTTTAATAACTGGTTAGTAATTCTGACGTTAGGTTGACAGGTTAATCACAAACTGTATCTGTGGCTTAAAATCATCTCACACTGAAGTTTCAGGTGAAATTAGAGTATTTTTTTAATTAAAAAACAAAACTGGGTTCTGATTAAATCAGTGTGTTTTATAAAGTCAATCAGCTGCTTTATATATAAGAGAGACTCTGGGGGAATTCGTCCTGTGGTCATTTCTATTAAAGCATTGATATTAAAGAAATAAAATATGAACTCTACATCAGAAACATCAGTCTCAGTGGGGCGGTCTTGATGATGAATGGATTATCAGATGTTCAACAGGCTCCAGAGCTTCTCTGAAATAAATTCCACCTCAGACGCATCATAAAGGTGTTCAATATTTATTACATATTAATTTTACATTGGGTACTTTGAACACTGCAGCCGCTGCTGGTCCGTGCTGATGAAGGTCGCTGTCAGTGGGAGGAAATGAGTTACATGAGTGGAAATAATTAATTAAAATAATAATACTGTACTTGTTTTATCTTATTATTTTAAGCCATATTTAATCAGGTAAGTCCGGTTTAGATCACTGATTCTTTTTTTCCTTGCAGGGAGATCTGGCTAAGACAGCAGCATATGAAAAAGTTGCAGCCGAGCAACCACACAATGAAAAACATAGAAGATCCACAGTAACATGTAGAAATATTAATACAGTCTTTATGAAGGGTTTCCAGGTGAGAGCAGCAGAGCTCATTAAAGCTAAGGAACAGGTGACAAACTAAAACTTGAGATCTCAGAGTGTAGCTACACACAGATCTCTGTTCAATCAAAGTACAAATGTCCGAGGGGAGTTCACCCAGTGTGGCTTTATACATGAGCAAATACCACTGACTGGGCTCACAAAAGGTCAAAGATGGCCGACCAGCCCTGGAATAAAGCGTACAGTGACGAGTGAAGGCGAATTTCAGTGCACCATGATGTATCTAACGTGCAAACAATGTGCAGATGCATTCATGTACAACAGATTACTGTAATCCAGAACCAGTAAAACTTAGCAGCAACCAGAGAAACAGGACTTGTTTCTGAAATAAAATTTAAGCTTCAGCTTTTTAAGAAGATTATTAACCCGAGGTTTAAGTGACGACCTCTGACCTCTTTCCCTGAAAATGGGATTTATTGTCACATCTCACCTGGACTGTTTGGGGTTTCTGTACATTGACATGAAACATAAACTGATAATAGAAGAAATTACAATCAAAATCTTAAAATATATATTTAAAGTATAGTTTTAAAAATAAATAAAATATTTTAAAAATATTGCTTCTTATATTCCAGACACGTGCTAAAGCAACACTCTCTCTCATTGCTTGTGGAAATATAATGGGGTCAAAAGTTTTTGGAAGGCGGTTCTTGACGTGGTTTACCCGATAACAAAATAAAAAATATCTTGTTGGCCAAAGTTGTGCATTTTAAGGATTTATCCAAAATATTTTATTACTAAGAAGAGAAGCCGTGCGCTAATAGACTTGTGTCTCTCACAAGCTGAAAGAGTTGAAGCTATAAGATGGAGTGATGTGAAAAAACCCCAAGTACAAATCAATATATTAATATACTTTGTGGACTTTTATTAAACGTTTTATTTGATAATATAAAATAAAAATACGATAAATAAAATAATAAATAAAAAAATACAGAAATAAAATAAATTACAATAAAATAAAATAAAATGCAATAAAATATAATAGAATAAAATAAAATAAAAAATATATAAAACCAAAGACTGAAGTGGGGGCGGGGCAACTAGATTAAGATTATAAAGTGTAGTAGCCCATGCGTACTCCATGATTACGGTTTTAATTAGGTTTTTTTTTTTTTTGCCTTCTCATTTAACGTTTTACCATATTTGCTGCCAAGACTGACTATTTTATTAACATGTAATATCTTTTATAATTGAAAACACGAATAAAAACGGTGTTAAAAATATTTTGCGACTGTAGAATAGCTACCTTTACGGAGGTAAAAGATGTCAGTACTTCTTCCTTCACTGATTGTCAGTCGAATTTACGGGTTGTATTTGAAGGCAGCGCCGGTCAGTTCCCTGCAGTAACTCCCGCCGCCACATCGCCCCGCTACAGTAGGTGGCGATACTGAGCATATGAGCTGGTTTACAGCCGCCATTACATTGAAGGAAGAAGAAGACGACCGATGGCGGGGAAAACAAGCAGGAGTTTCTGCGGACAAACATTCATTTATTGAATATATAAAAACAGAAATTAGACAGTCTGCCGCTGCGAAGACACTGAAGGTAAAATAAGATGTTTAAGAACAAGTGTTGAGCTAATGTTGATGATAACAGCTCGGCTAACAATCAACTCACCTGTCTCACCTGCTAACAGCTAGCTTAACGAGAAGCACCTGGCCGGGAGGTAAAGTTAACGACCCTGGGTGAAACAATGGATCAGACCTGTTTAATGTACCTGAGTATCGTCATGGTTGATCTACACAACACCTGCTTAAAGGTAAGACACCTGTTAATGTGTTGACTGTTTGATTTAATGAGCAGTTTGTGTGTTTATCGATTAACCGTTTGCTGATCCATCAGCAGCGGTGGAAATTAACTGAGTGCATTTAACGTTACTCAACTTGAGGTACTTGTACTTGAGTATTTCCATTTTCTACTTTCCATCTTGGCGGTAAATACTGCATTTTATACTGCACATTTATTTAATTAAAAGCTTTAGTTACTTTACATATTTATATTATTAATACAAAATATAATCAAATAATAAATTATGATATATTTTTATTGATTGGTCTACCTAGCATTTTATAAAGTCATTAAAATGTAGGGATGCTCGATATTTTGTTTTTTGCCGATATCCGATATGTCACTAAAAAACTACTCATTTGGCCAATAACAGATTCCGATATCGATTTATCCACATTTTTTCCCCAATTAATTTTTTGTGATCATCAAGTCTTTTCTGTAGTGGAATTAACATCATGATACAAACATACTCTTAAGGTGACGACCCACCAGCAGATGGAGACATGAAATACAATACTTTTTGATGTTTTTAATATTTAATTATTGTGCAAAATAAGAAAAAGTATGTTTTTTCCACTACAATCCACAGTACATTTTGCTGATAATACTTTTGTACTTTTACTCAAGTAGAATTTGAACGCAGTACTTTTAATTGTAACATAGTATTACTTTTACTTAACAAAGGTAAAGGATCTGAGTATTCTTCCACCTCTGTATATTAGTGTATGTGTATAATGTGTATAAACCGAATTATTCAGAAACTATTATTGCAATTTTAAATGTTTTGTAGTATGCTGTGTGTTGCCATAACATGCTGTGGTATACTGCGGTTTATTACCTTTTTCATATTCAGGAAAACCTTTGTCAACATCTGTGTGTGTCAAATAAGATAAAGTTTTCGGTCTGTTCATCTCACTACGGTCATTTTTATTGCAGCTAAAACAAAAAAAAAGCAGTTGGTTTTATTATTCCTGTAGGCTGCCAAGAGTTTAATTGTAGTTGCAGCATTGATCCTGTAGATAATAAAATTTTGATCCTTGGCGTCTGTGTATGGATATAACATTGCCACGCAAAATATTGCGATATAGTACTGTATTGATTTTATCACCTACCCCTAATATATATGAAATGTGGGTAAATGATTACTAATTGAAGAAACTATATTGTGCTTTTGTCTGTTTTATATCATTGTATAGTAAATGTGTTCAGGTTTTGGACTTGCTTACATGAGAGGAGACATTTTAAGGCGTCTCTTTAGACTGTGAGTTTAGGATGGCAGTGAAGTGGAAACCATTTCAGGTGACTACCTCTTGAAGCTCATGGAGAGAATGCCAAGAGTGTGCAAAGCAGTAATCAGAGCAAATGGTGGCTATTTTGAAGAAACTAGAATATAAAACATGTTTTCAGTTATTTCACCTTTTTTTTGTTAAGTACATAACTCCACATGTGTTCATTCATAGTTTTGATGCCTTCAGTGAGAATCTACAATGTAAATAGTCATGAAAATAAAGAAAACGCATTAAATGAGAAGGTGTGTCCAAACTTTTGGCCTGTACTGTATTTCATTGTGTTCTGACGTTTATAGTCAAACTATTAACCATTATCCACAGATGAAAAAATAAATAACAGTTTAATAAATCATTAAAACAGTTTGTTCTAATCCTGTGATTTTAGAGATGAAATAGACATCTTGAAAATTAATATAATACTTTGTATCAGTGTTTTACTGTGAGTTGGACTGATTATCAGACACACTGAGCACTGATGAATGAAGCCGTTTGAACAAGATGTAAAGATTGTGAATGTGAAGATTATGAGGCACTTTTACGAGGCTGCACTCAGAGCTGTCGAGGAAAAGAGTTTAATTTGTTTGCTTCATTAGACTGCGGTTAAATTAAAGGGGTTATATTTTTTACCCCAAAGTGACTGAATGAGCAGGAGATGTTGCAGTGCTGCGATTACGTTTTGTTTGCTTTGGTTAGGAGTGAGTCCTAAAACCCTGAAATGAATTAGCATTTTAGCATTCCTGGTTCTCTCATCTCAGAGTCAGTTGGTTTTTAGTTAGATGTCTGAAATAAGGTCTGTGGTTTACACAAGCTGAAGAGGTTTTTTGACCTGGATCCTGATCAGAGTCCTTTAACACTGGGTATCTGCTGATCCCAAGTTAAATCTCATTTTTATAGTTACTTAAAGGTTAAGTGTGTAATATTTAGGGAGACTTAGTGGTGTCTAGCAGCAAAGACTGCAGATTTTAACCAGCTGAAACTTCTCCTGGTTGTAATTCCTTCAGTGTTCATTGTTCAGAACGTTTTTACCAGGAGCTGAATTATCTACAGAGGTCTTCTCCTCTCCAAAACAAACAGACCAAGAGATGTGAACCAGTAAAAAACAAAAAAGTCTCATTCCAAGACAACAAAAAAAAACAAAAATTCTTATTTTCCGGTGGTAATACAGTAGAGCAGGGGTCTTCAACGTTTTTCAGGCTAACTACCCCATGGCCCAAAGACAGACAGCAGGGACCCCTACTACAAATATTTTCAAAAAAAGAGTTGCACTTGAGATAGTTCTGAATATTTTTCGGGTCTTCTCTTGTTTGCCTAGCTGCTTACTAAGCAGCAGTTGTGGTATCGCTCGGTGCGTTAGCCTCACCCTCTGCACTTTCAGTGGTGGTTTCTACAGTGGACGGTGTGTCAGAGTCTGTTAAAAAGTTATGAAACAATCCATTGTGGCACACAAGAATGTCTGTACACTTGACATAGTAATACAGCTAACTGGCTAATATGCAAAAATAATTACAGGTGCCACACAGTGATGTAGCATTAGCTAGCTCACATGAACGCAAAACGATTCCTGGGTAACAGTTAGCCTATCATGAATAGGCTGATTTTATCTCAGCTAATAATATGTTAGATTCCCATTAATGTGGATTTTCAGACACATTTTACTTACTAATACTTATATTCAGAGTATTTAGAGGTCATTTGGTGGCCCCCCTATAGTAACTCTGAGGACCTAGGGGTCACGGACCACCTGTTGAAGACCCAGGCAGTTGAGAAAACTTACTGATCACATTTTATTCCATTTCTGCAAATATACCCCCCTAAATCCGACACACTTGACCATTAAGTGTGTATCTAAGACAATGAAATATAAGTTAGAGACCAAACCTGACACGCTCTCTGAGCTACAGATGATCGCTCTGGATGTGGCGATATTTAAAGTAACTAATATAAATGTAAAACAGGATATGATGATTATTTTTCTCTCTTAGCTTCTCTGTTAAAGTTCAAACTGTCTGCAGCGTCCGTGAGTGACAGGTAATCAAAGTGAACAGTGGCCATTAGTAAGCTGATAATGGAGGATAATGGCCGTAATCATCATGGTGGTTATTTTGAAGGGATATTAATCCTTCATTTCATCAGTGCTCTGGGTCACCTCTTCAGACATACAGCTACATTCTGCAGCTGTGAAGTTTTAGAGGTAACAGATCATATTGTTTCCTACAGCATGTACGTTACATGAGGGCTGCACAGTTTATGGAAAATGTACCTTCATCGCGATATTAACATGGTATCACAAAAGACGGCCTCATTTGCGATGAACACTATATTTACATGTGCCACGCATTCAAACGCTGCATGTGGTGATTAAAGAGCGGCGTCAAGTGACTTTAGTAGTTTGGGAAGTTTTCTCCATGTCACAGAAACTACTGAGAGTGAAACTTGTGTTTTGGATGTTATTATCATACTGTCCGTGGTGTGTTGGGCAGTGGTGTAAGACGACGGTCCCTACTGCATGCTGTCGTCTTGTTACATGATCTGAGACTTGACATTGGATTACATCAACATACATATTACTCAGCAATCATCATCTGTATGTCTAAGACGTCATAATCCAGTGTAAATAAGTTTTCAATAATTCAAACAAATAGATTGTCCTGGTTGTGGTCTACCTCGTCCCATGGACTCTATTTATATTTGTTTGAATATTTTCAGTGTAGCAGTCACTCATAAGGGCCCATAAGGGCATTGTTTGAGGGCCCACTCTCTCTATGGGCCCCTCATCTCATGGGCCCCAGTGCAATCGCACTGCCTGCACTGTCTGTATTTACGCCCCTGGTGTCAGGGTTTTATTCTGGTGCTCTGCACAGATCATTCACCTGTTCTCATCCCCGGCTCTCTGAAGTTTGGTACGCCACTGTTTGCTGGTAAAGGCAGCAGAGTAGCACAGACGTCCCCAGGGGACCACCAGTAGACAATGACCTCGTATTTTAAGGTTTTAAGGTATTTTAAGGGCCAGCAGGAGGAAATATTGCTGCACATATTCAGTTGGCCACATACTGCATAAGTAAACCAGAAACTAAAAGCTTTTTTTTTTTGGCATATGCGCCAGACAAGCAACTCCTGGAAAAAACAGGCGCCATCTTGGTACCCAGTATCTAGTTATGTCATCCTCTGGACAACAGGACGCAGTCAGTCTTGAGCCCTGCTTGATTAGCCTGTGCAAAATTGGTAAGATTTTAATAATTGTATAATTATATTATGTAGATATATAATTAATTATATGATTAAAATAATTGTGACAGAACAGGTAATGAATCATTTTCCCGAGAGCCGACAGTGAACACTGGTGCATCTCAGTGTCGCTGCTCTTCGGATCCTTTTTTGGGGCACTGCTGTTGCCTCTCCTGTCCTTTTTGTTAAATGAACTGATAGTCCTTTTGTGTCTCGGACTGATAAACGTGTTTTGAACTAACAACTCACCAATTTCACGACCGGATGCCGGGTCACCTGCCTCCCCAGCTTTCATTGCTGCACTCCGCGTACTGCGTTCAGGACACCATCGGCAACAATGTGGATTAACAGGCTGCTTGTATGGACCGTGTTCACCTGGATTAACCTGTCTCATATTTTCCATCCAGTAACACAGATATTTCATTACACAGCAGCAGAACTTTGCCAACTACGTTTC